TGATTGGTCAGGGCCATGCCAAGGGAAGCCAGCCGCCTCATGCTTCCCTTCAGAGGCGGCTGGCGGCTGGCGATTTGATTGGACACTGCCATCCAATCAAATCACATCAACATCAGTTTTAATACTGTAACTGTCATCACCGCCGTTAGAAATGATCAAGCAAATTAAGCATTATGGAGGGTGGAGATTTGGCGTACTTAATCAAACATAACCTTACTAAACTTCCGCTACAGCAGCAACTGAAAATTAAATCAGATGACAGGCCAATGCCCGCACTCGAGTTGTGTGTACACAGAGGAAAAAGGGAGAGAATCGGACGTTCAATGAGGATAATTATGTCCGCACGGAGTGGCTAACTGGAAGCGCTAAACTTCAGCGTCTATTTTGCTGGCCATGTCTTCTTTTTGACAAGGATTCGTGCTCCCTGAACAATCCTTGGGCAACTTCAGGATTCATCGACCTGTCACGGGCAATTGAGAGGCACGGTAAATCCAAAAATCACATAGATTGTGTGATTGTCTGCATTAAATTAATAAGGAGAGAGTTTCAGCTGGAGAGTGCGTGCGGACCTTTCGGTTAGATAACAGGCGTGTGCAAGTCCTGCATCTGTGTGATACAAATGTGTGTAAAATGATACCGGGCGCTGTAATCACTCATCTGGTTACGTTATTGACCACCCCCCCCCCACCCAAAAAATGGGCTTCCCCTACATTTTTCCCCACGCCACGCTACTGCCGCTAATCAATCAGATCGATGGATTCCAGAGATTTTTCTCACAAATGATGACTCCGAAACAGTCCGTGGGCACCACCTAACAGCCAATCAGAATGAGAATATGTTTCACATGTGACGTATTCAAATTGCGAGTGATTGAGTGACAGATGAAGGTTGTTTAGGAGAAAATGTCAGAGAAGAAAAAGTTTGAGAGTGGCGCTCGGAAAAGGAAATGGTTGAGGGAAAAGGAGTTTCGAGACAAGCAGCTATTACAAAAAATGCCGAAGCTTACAGGTTATTTTAAACCTGTAGGCCAGGATGAGGAGGAAGGACAGATGAGTTCTGTACCGAGCGGTAGCGGTGCCGGCCGCGGGGCCTCGGAGCCAAGGTCGTCTGGTTCTGATAGCGATGGAGTAGCTGGAGTAGCGGGAGAGGAAAAACAGACATGAGGGATGTTGGAGGAGATGGAGAGGACGACGAGGACTTGCTACGTGGAGGGGAGCCAACGGCAACCGGACAAATACATGAGGGAGGCCCGATACGTCACTCATCTGGAGGAGAGGACCAGGCGCGCGTAGAGCAGAGTGGAGAAGTGTGATCACAGAGCCTGCCGAGGCTATACATGACTTTGATTTGTTGTTTAAATAGGGGGCCTACAAAACCTATCAGCCCCAGGGCCTGATGGCAGGTTAAGGCGGGCTTGCACATGTGTATATTGATCCAAACATACTGAGCACACAGATCGCTACTTTCTGAACGTTAGGGAACTGCTGTTTTTTTACATCACTCCAAAACTTCGCTGGCCCGTTAGTGCGCTGCTCTTGTGCAATGGTTACGGATGACTGCATGTCAATACATTCCAGTGTACATTTCCCCTCATCGATGCAGGGGACCACTTCTTTGGCTCTGGTTGATACGTCCCCCTCTATTGCAACAGTGAAGGGGTCTCTGGCAAAGCCCATCACCTCTGTGGGCAGAGCAAGTCCATCCAATCGACCGGCAAAGTTCTCTTTCAACCTCGCAATGAAATATGTCATCACATCCGTGATTTGTGCCGGGGATGTGATGTGTTTGTGGAGCGTCGGGAAATGCAGCATCCGACCCGTACTCAAGTCGGTCGCGAAAAGGTCCAGCTTGACTTGGAATGCGCGCATCTGCTCCACAAGATCAATGACCGTTTTGTCTCTGTTTACGCTTCAGAGTTGAGAGAGACATGTTTTAGAGTTGCCATCATCACCGTTACTAGCAGCACCACTAGATGCACTTTCAAAAAACGTGCTGCGTTGTGGTTTAGTGGTTTCTATGCAACGCGGAGTGTTGCGTTCATGGTCTGTACTAGTGTAGGAATTTGGCTACGGGAGGCTAGGCCACTCGGGAGTTGGTTCTGGGCCGCATCTGGCCCGCGGGCCGCCATTTGAATAGGCCTGGTCTATGGTCACATCCTGCTACGGTCCCGCGCGAGCGCCTTTTCTTGGAGGCGAATAACCTGACCCCCGGCTAGATGAGCCGGGGGTCAGGTTATTCAAAGAAAAGTACCGGAGGAACACATGATTTAATTCTGCGTGGACAGAGTTATATGCTTTCACAGCAAACGATGCTGGTTTAACGGTATGTCTGATATGTAGAGAGAAGTTGTCAACGGTGGTGCAGCCTTTACGTATCGAGGAACAACACGGGAGAGGAAGACAGCTGACGATCTTCAGTCATAATTCAATGGGGTATGTAATTTATTTCAGAAAACACTTTTTGTTATATTCCATGGAATGCTCTTAACGTCCCGATAGCAATGAATATATTAAATGCTTTGACAATAAATACATACAAAAATGTCATCTGTGTAAGCCGTAGCGCTGTAAAAAGCACGACCAATCATCTGAGCCGGCCCGGCTAAAATAACTGGATGGCCTACCTGCATGTCAGCCTTCCATCTGTGCACAAACTTATCTCGTGCCCTCATTGGTCATGTGCGCGTTCGTGTGTGTTGGAGGAGGGGCTCTGTAAGAAAGTCTGAAGGAAGAGGCATATTTTTTCCGGTTGTGTACTTTCAAATTCTAGCGCACTCGAGCTGGTTTCTCCATTCTTACCTACCCTACCTTTAACTCTTTTTATGGTGCAGCTATATGTTTTATTTATTTCAAAGTGGGCCCATTTTAATAATATTTTTTTTTCCTTCAAATGTGCAGAGGACTCCCCAAGTGCTGTGTTTAATTTATTTTAAAGTAGGCCTGTGTATTATTTTTAATTCTCCTTATAAGATTTATTTGTTTCTTATTAGAGGTTAACAGTTTTATATCATGTAATAAATAGCCTAATAAATGCAAAAAAACGGTAGTTTTTGTCTGATATAATAATAAAAAACTATGAAATATGTTTTGCGGCTCCAGACAAAAAAATGTTTTGGAAAAAGGAGCAAAATGGCTCTTTTGGTCAAAAAGGTTGCAGACCCCTGAGCTAAGGTATAAGAAATTCACACTTGTGATCTAATCAATCTGTAATCTGTAAAAATGCAGTGTCTTCAATATAGGATTATATTTACTTTAGTTTAGCTCGGATAGATGCTATGCAATCTGATACTGTTGGTACCTGTAAATGTCGTTAGGTATGTAAATTGTAAATCCCTGTATCTAAGTTGTATGATGTCCTTTTGTTTTTCTTTTGTTTTATGTTTTTATGTCTTCATGTGGAACCTACTTGCAGCAGGTCTCCCTTGAAAAAGAGATCGATGATCTCAATGGGATTCACCTGGTTAAATAAAGGTTTGAAATTAAATGAAACAATACAAATTATAATACTGTCATTCTCTACATTGTCCCTGTATTTTATAATTATTGTCTGTTTTTCTTTTGATGTTTTTCTTTTCTTTATTTCTTTTCATGGCTTGCACATTTGGTTTATTGTAAAAAAAATTGTTTTGGGTTTGTTTGCCATTGTTGTTTTTGTCTTTATCCTTTGTGTTGTTTAAATTATCTTACTAAACATTTTTTGTTTAGTTTTGCCTATATGGGGTGTGCAGGAAGATGAGGGAGGGAGTGGGGAATTTAGAGAGTGTGCTGTGATAATAAAATGTATATAAAATGGTCCCTCTTATTGTCCACTACTATGAAATAAGAAGACGCATAAAAATATATATATTTATATTCAATTGAATTTTATATTGTATGTCTTTTTACATTTTGTAATATACACGCTGGTTTGTTTGATATTGTACAAGAGTGATTTGATTTTTGAAATTCTCCGACCTTTACTCAATCAATCAATCAATCCATCAATCCATCAATCCATCAATCAACAACTTTATTAATCCCCTTATGAGCAGCAGCTTATGTCAGGCAGGAACATACAGGAAGAAAACACACAGATACACCCGGGAGCACAGATGTGGATCATTCCAATTTACACTATAAATAGTTCATAGCATCACAATAATAAATAAATAAATACGAGCTATTGATATGGTAAGTTTGTTTTATAGGTATTAATTCAAATACGTATTACAGTTCCTAATAAATAGTAGGTTTCATTAGACTCAAATATAAGCATACACTAACTGTATATATAAACGTGGTGCCCCTTTCAAGGATCTTATTGGAAAATGTATGAATAACAATGAACAATATTTATTTTTTAATGTGATATATTTTAAATATATTTATGTCATCTTAATTACTAATTACTTCTCATAGCATTTGTTAATACCTTTTTAGCTACTGCAATCATAATTTTAGTGACACAATATTATCAGACCCTGTTGATAAACCCTCTGAACCTTCATGTTGAAAGTTATATTGAAAATAATTATCATTTATATAATGTATATAAAATGTATATTTGTTAATACAAGTATATGGTATGTTACACAAACAAAACATGCAAAAAATGTAATAAATAAATTCACATTACGTAGCTAAAAGTGTCTCTGTTAAGTAATTATACATCCTAATAAGTGATTAATTCAATAAGAAAAGTGAACAATATGTCCTTGTTATGCACACCTTATTTTGCCCAGCTTACTTTGTTACATTACACATTCAAATTATAATTTGCATCGATAAATATGATGACATGCTGTAGCTTCAGAAATAAAACAACTAATGAATATATGCATACATATAATGTAAACATATGATCATGAAAATTCAACCATCTTGGAGTATACTAAAAACAATATGTTTAAAACAATTTAACTACTTTACTATGACACGCATCATTGTTGCAGAAAGTTTAAAGTTATATATGAGAGAGCTCAGTCCATATCAGACCTCTTACTTTAAGCACTGGGTAATATTTTAAATCCTAACAGGTTTAGAGCATAAAAACCTACGTGACAAACATTTTCTTATTTCTGGCAATTTCAGGCCATATACAAAGGGATTTAGAATGGGCGGAATCAAAACAAATTCAAGTGATAAAAATACTCCTAAAAATGGATTTATTATTTCAACGTCTATCCTGCTGAGAGCAATATCACAAAACAAAGAAATTGAAAAATTGACAAATGTAACAATGTGTGGCATACAGCTTTGTATGACTTTGCTCTTGAACTCTAAAGAGTTTTTCCAACAAATAACACAAATGCGTAAATATGTATACAAGACAAAAGCCAGGGGCAGAATGACTGTCGTTGTAGTCATCAACATTCCAACAAGGTTGTTAAGCACAGTACTGATACAAGCCAATTTTACAACAGGCCAATTGGCACAGAATACCTTAGGTATCTTATTGCCACACAATGGAAGTCCTCTGGCCAGATAAACACAAGCTCCAACAGAAAATATGGGAAAGATCCATGCAAAGGCAACCAACTTAGAGATCATCTTTGATGTCATTTTGCTGTGATAGTGCAAAGGTTGACAAACAGCAACATACCGGTCATAAGCCATGACTGCTAAAAGTAATAGCTCATAGGATGCATAGGTGTAAATGACATAGATCTGAATGAAACAAGCTGATCGTGGGATCAAATGCGTATTAGACAGAAGGTCTCTCAAAAATCTGAAAAAGAAACCAGCAGAACCGTACAGAGAGTTAATAGAAAGACACATAATAAAAATATACATGGGTTTATGTAACGCTTTCTCTTGTGATATTTCCAGTATTATGACAAGATTAGCAGAGATAATGACAGCATACAAGAGGAGACACAGGACAAATGCTGGGTACCGGTAGATGCCTATGTTCACAAACATGGTGAGGTTAAAATAAGGGGGATACGTACCGTTTTCCATTTACCCCTATAAACAGTAAAAGAGATTGTTTGATGAATAAAGACAATTCTACTGCAGGATCTTAACAATAGTTAGTGCCGCTGCAACACCTTTTGGCCTAAAAGTGAAAGGTTAGACATGAATTGAGCCAGTTTCAGGTATTTGGAAAGCAGTGAGCAAAACAAGAGAACAGAGCAATACAATATGCAAGAGGAGTACAAGTCAGTTAGATCAACAAGTAAAACATACGTTTGTTGAATTAGAATGATCACAGTCTCAATTATATCGACTGTAAACATCAAGAGGTTTCATCACGTCTGAATATCCTTCATGCAGTCTGTGCGTTCACAGGAACAGCTGAGAGACTGTTTATCTTTCTATGTGTTATTACATCACTGCAGTCATCACTCTATGGGGAATTTACTAACTGCAAAACAAATTACCCTATTTTGATATGGCATGCAGATGGTAAAATAAAAATTGCTTAGTAGATAAATTAACCTAAGCATTTATACACGAACACACTTTGATGGCAATATCAGGCCGATGTAGACAACACATATTAAAAACTATTAAAGACTAGTCATACTACAGTGTGTGTACAGGGCCCACCAAACATGTGCATTTAATGGACACACTCTCCGGTGCGCTGTTTGAAAGAGACAGCTTTTAATAACGCTGGAAATGGCCGTTTTAGCAAATCGTATCACACAAACTTTTTTTTAAACAACTATTTGTTAGTTTTTCCTTCTTTGTTGGCTTACCAGCTAGAGGTGCATATGCCAGCAACCAACCACAAATTGCAAAGTCGAAACTTAGAGAGCAAAGGGGACCCTTACAGACAAGGGAAGTATTAATCAGGCAGTTTACAAGGCCCTTCATACAACTGCATTTGCAGTTTGTGATGCTGTCGGTACGTTGTTTGCCAGAAGTTGTAAAGCATTTGGCTTTTCTTTATTCCATTTTAAAGGCACTTTACAATTATCTAGAGCAGTGGTTCCCAAACTTTTTGTGCCCAAGGCACACCAAAGGACAAGTAAAAATCTCAAGGCACACCTATTGTGCAAAATAGCCCTTATAACACGTGTTATCACTCATATCATGTAAAATATCTGTAAATGTGCATAATTATTTACTAATGCCAAATAAAAGGTGACAAAGACAACTATATTACTCATGAAATATTTATTAACGAAATATTTCAGAAATGTATTTGAAACTTTATCAAATTAGACTTCATCAAAGCAGCAACACACTCATTTAAACCAGACAGGTCACAAAATAAAAAATGAGGCAAAGGAAACTCAGCAGAAATTCAGCACAGAGAACTGTCAATGCAAGGAAGCTGCATTGTCCATGGTCCTGAACTACAAATTATAAATGTAACATTTCAGCAATCAGCATTGAAACATGTGCTATTGTAAATATGTTGCCGATTTACAAATTAGTGAGATACATGTGTCTGTCGGGGCGCGCAGATTTTTATAATCCTTGGTGGCACTGTATGTATAGTATGGGCTCAGAACAGTCTCATAATACACACATGCGCACAGAAGGATTCACACTTGTATTTCATGATCTGCAAAAGGATTCACACTTGTATTTCCGGATCCACACTTGTGTTTTTCAATGCACACACAAATGTATTCCGTTTCATATACATGTAAATAAAATCCAAATACAGAAAAAAGTTTTACATATGTATTTTTGATCCTCACTTATTTGTTTTCCGTTTAAAACCGCTGCACCTGCAAACACAAACAGCTTTCTGTGCACGGATCGCTGTGCATTCGTGTGTGGGTTTTTTGAGACTCCCCTGACGGTCAGCCGATTCGTACTTGTAATTATTTCTATCTATAGCCAATCAGATGTCTCCTCAATTCTAAGCCAATCACATGAGCGCGCCCCCACGAGGGTAGATTTATTGCGTTCATGACGTAGCGCTTCATGTACACATTTTGCGCAGTCCGGAGCTGACAGCTCCATGGAGCCTGCCTGCAGGCGCTAATCTCAGGACACCTCCACTCTCAGTACAGCGCCACTTTCCGAACAGGAAATGCACGCAAATACAAGCCTTTATATTATTAAGGTACAGCGCCACTTTCCAAACCATTGATGAATGCTTGTGTACACAAAAACGGAAGGCAAAACCGTTTTAAATGTGTGTTTCCTGTATGGCGAATACAGCTGCTTTATTTATGTCTGTATGAAGTTGTTGTGAGTGTGGAGGGAGCAGCTACAGGTTAGCTTAGCCTAATCGATCAGTGCACTACGAAGCCAGTGCTAGACAGTGACCTGTTAACGGGGGGGGAGCCCCGCCGGTCATTATCGGCCGATATTCACTCTTAATAGTTTGATCGGTGCTCTCTATAAAGGCCGATCAGGAGAGCTGGATCTGATCGATATGGACATAAACACGAGTGAAGTATAACCGGATGCGAGAGAGAGATCAGATCAGCTGCTGAGTCTGATGGAGACACGCTGCTCTGCATGATCACCTGATGCTCCGCCCTCTGTTTAGCGAGCTGACCAGACTGCACAAAATGCGTATATGAAGTAATCTTACCCTCGTGGGGGCGCGCTCATGTGATTAGCTTAGAATGAAGGAGACATCTGATTGGCTATAGATAGAAACAATTACAAGTACGAATCGGCTGACCGTCAGGGGAGTCTCAAAAAACCCACACACGAATGCAAAGCGATCCGTGCACAGAAAGCTGTTTGTGTTTGCAGGTTCAGGGGATTTAAACGGGAAACTAATAAGTGAGGATCAAAAATACATATATAAAACTTTTTTCTGTATTTGGATTTTATTTACATGTAGGCCTATATGAAACGGAATACATTTGTGTGTGCATTGAAAAACACAAGTATGGATCCGGAAATACAAGTTTGAATCCTTCTGTGTGCATGTGTGTATTATGAGACTGTTCTGAGCCCATAGAGATGGGGTCGTTACAAAAAAAATGTAATATATTACATATTACTTTTTTTAAAAGTAATATATTACACTACTTCGTTACTATCTACATAAAGTAACTCGTTACTTTACTCGAGCACGTACGAACTGCGCATGCGTGAGTGGCAATAACTTTCCTTACCAGCAGGCGGCGGTAGTGTGTATTTGTCATTCAAAACAGGCAACAACCGGAAGACAGAGAAGAAGATATACGTGATATAAACAAACAACAAATAGCGTGTGCGGTAGCTTCACCTTAGTATGTGTTCTTTGCAGGTGTGTGTTGAGGTTTGACGTGGTGTTTACAGCAGTGGATAACAGCTTCTGGCCTGGACACAGTTTGCACCTCACCGTCACATTCCTGTCTATTCTTCGGACGAACTCAAAATAATGGGCATACCTCCACCCCTCGAAAGTTATCGCTGACTCAGCCATGTTTATGCAGCACTGCACGTGGAGACGTGGACGCGCAAGTCGCGCAGATTATGTACATATAAACCTACAAAGTACTGATAGTAAATTTAAAATTAAATAATTATTTTTGTGTAGTTGTATATTGCAATAATAACGTATGGTTGTCACAAAATCCCACGGCACACCCGGACTTGCCTCACGGCACACCGTTTGGGAACCACTGATCTAGATAACAGTGGTTAATGGTTCATCTTCTCAAACAATATATACTAAACTGTAAATTGGACAAACACCAACTGACGCACAACTCCAGTCGTGCCATACAGTCTGTGGAGTCACAAATTGTATGAAGTGGCCTCGATTGTGCAGGTTAACATTTGAATGATGCCGTCTCAATAGCCTCAACTAGTCTTACAAATGTAACGTCTTCTCAAAAACATATGACCACCCCAAGCTACGTCATAGCCCTAATACTGCAAAAACCGAATCGAATATTGTTCTAGGATGTTAAGCACCAGCAGTATTAGATCTCTGGTATGGTATACCGCTAAAGTAGATATTTTATTTCCAACTACTACTTGCTGACAGTTTATAAATGTTGAGTATGGGATTGGGAGTTTTTTGTACAAATCGGGGGGAGGGGGGCCTCATGACAAAAAAAATTGCGTTGGGCCCAAATTTGGCCAGGGGCAGCACTTGGTTCATCTGATAATTATCTGACAACAATACATATTTAAACATTTATGTGCAGTAACTTAGCAAATGCCTTAATCTAAAACAAATTGCTTACATTCTTAGATCCGCACAAAATATGATATCGTTACAAAGGTATCTGGTTTCCGGCTATCCAGGCCTTTATCTTAAGAATGTCTTGAAGGAACTTGGAATGTTATTCACTTTTTGTTTAAAATAACCAGCATATAACTTAAGGAAGTTACTTTTCCAATTCAAACTTTGATTTCTACATAAATAAAGATAAGGCTCAGCGGATGGAGTCGACCGGATTTGCCAACGTGGGGCTGGAGCTGGAGCGGGGTCAAGGGTTGCTGGTAGCCAGGCTGCTGGGACCTTTGGTGCATTCCAGTTGTACTGGGAAGAGTATCTTTGGTGCAATCGACCCGACCACGGATAAGCGGGAGAAGATGGATGGATGGTGTATATAGGATATACATATTTTATACATATTTGTTTACATATCTGTATATTGTATAATTTTATATTCGGGATTGTTTGAAACGTCGATCTATCTGTCTGTAAACACAAACTGAGTAAGATTGACATTAAAGTTGACTTTAACTTTGACTATCTGAGTTCCCAGTTGGAAATGTCAACTGAAAATTAAAGGTCAGACTTTCTACGCAGCATTCAGCATGGGCTGGTAGCCGTGCTGCATGCTACATACATTCATATTCGCAATAGCAACACACACTGGATAATATCTAACACTACGATTTATAAAAAAGCTCAGAGCCCATGCTAACGATTGATCTCTGTTTTCCTAATTGGGTTTCATGAACTTCCTTGTCAGTTATAGATTTAACTATTGACATATGTATACCAATAAACTATAAGCCTGTTAGTGGACTACATTCTTCTCACCTACGGAATGGAATCCTACAATAAAAGTACAGGAATATTCTTCTCACTCAGGATTTATTCCTTCTGCTCAAACCAGTAATAAACTGCGAAAAAAGGTATCTTGTCTGATCTAATTGAACACCTTTAAAGTATTCTCACATGTCTTAGAAAAAGTAACATCGCTCTTTATAGTTTTGAATGTCTTTTAATACTTTATAATAATCCTGTTATTGTTTTATTTTAAATGTTTATTCATTTGCTTTTATGTCTGCCACTGTTATTTTCTGCTGCTGCCTATGTTTGCTAGGGAACTCTTGAAAATGAATAAAGGTAAAGTAAACAGTACATTTTTTATGGACACAGCCACATATTATTTTGCTTTCATGAAGGGGGTTCAGAGGCTGGTATAATATATAACCATCACTTAACTTAAAGCGCTTATTGAGAAATGTTTGGTGCCGAGAGAGGATGTTCAGTATACATAATTGACTCAAAGTAATCTACAGTGGTCATTGTTAAAGATGACACATTATCATTGTTTCATTCATTTTATTGGGATTATTAGAAGGCAAAACATGTATCAGATCTATAGAAATATTCTGAAGTTATAATAATCATACACCAGGCTAATGGAGATTAAGAACTATTTATCCCAAGAAAATAGATTATATATAAATAAAGATTATTATTATTATTGAACTTCATAATGAGGCATTGGTGCAGCCTCATACAAGTATTCAACAATAAGTTCTGTCCACCCCTGTGTACCAATCTGAGTTACGTGGAGGGATCAAAAGTAAGACAAACTATTGTGAAACAGATGATGTAATGTTTTGCTTATCTTTAAGACCACAATGCACTTTAGGTCATGAGTGATGCAAACTTACTGTAATGACTTTGAGTAGTCCCCTCAGCCCCCTTAATGACCATCACTACCCTGAAATCCCTAGTGTATCTTCACCAGTTGTTGAAACATAGAGCTTGGGGAATAGTTTGAATGTGTATTGGTCTGAGATAAGTTTTAATGCAAGACAATGTGAAATTAGATTGTCTCTGATGCAATGTTTGATGTCAACACTAATGAGAGCCCATGGGATTGAACACTTTGTTTTTCAAAGGTTATTAAGGTAGAATAACAAAGTTGGAAATGGTCAACAGGCCATCACACCTTGGGAGCAATTAAACCTGCATAGCTACCCTGGAGGGCAGTCCTTGGTAACCAGACCAAAACAAAGATGTTTTTCAGTTGAGCAAAGTCAAACACACTTTGACATACTGACAAACTTTAGTTTGGAAACACAGGGATGACTGACCTAGTGACCTTTCACGTGTTTGTAGAGATTGGTATGCAGGTAGTGGTTTTATTATGTCACCTTGAAAACGAGATGGTGCATCTCAAGGGGTTTATCCCAATCAATAACAATTTATATATATTAAATTGCAGCAAAAGTGACGTGATCTCCAGAGAAACTGCTGGTCACTTGACTTGTGCTACTAAGACATTACAGATTTCATACCAGGTTAAACATTATTTACTGGTGGGAAGTGCAAGGTTAACTTAAAAATATTTGAGGCTGAATGAAGACAGTTCAAAGTTCTGAAAAGGATCTTTGAGCTAAGTTTTTTTTTACACCACTTAAACTTACGAAGCCTGAACAACATTTCCAACAACTTTGTACTCTTCTCTTACAGCTTTCTCAAGACTTTCCACTCCTCCCTTTAGTCAACGTGAGCTGTTGTTACTCACGTAAATCCTGCCACAGCTTCTGACATGATCTTCAGGCACACACGCAGCTCTTGGCTCTCTGTGCTGGCTGGGCAAAGAGTTGGTCTCTGCAGTGGGAGCACATATAAACTTATTTTGCAATCCTACTCCGACCTCACAACTGTCTCTATGGAATAACACTGGGTAAAAGCTGTTTTTTGGGAGTGCCAGGTGAAAAAAAACACTCCCAAAAAACGAACGAGCTGAAAGACAATGGAACACCTGGGCCAGGTGTCCCATTGTCTTTCACCTTATATGTAATGTAGGACTTTATGCTTGTAACTTGATCTGTCTGAGGCCCCAAAAGAAATAAACACAGTCACGTAAGAGTTGTAAAAAGAACAACAGATATTGTCAATTGCAAAAACGTTTGTGAACATAAGAACATTTATTGCTGCACCTGCAGAAGTGCGGTGACTAACAACCATGTGTTTTCCGCTGTTATTACACAATACAACTCAATATTAAATGATATAGGCAGATTGTAAAATAGAATCTGCAGAAATCCTCTGGCCATGAATGGGTTAAGCAAAAGGCCCTGCCTCTGTTAGACATTCTTAACCGATCTGCAGCTGAGTTGCAAGGCATACTTCATCAAGGGGAGCTTTCACCTTGTAAGAAACATTTTTCTCTGGATTACTTTCATCTGTGTAGTTCTTCCTACAAAGTTTTGTGCTACCATTTTTTAACAGCTACTTGATTTACCTTGTTCCTGTTAATCTCCGGGATTATTTCTGTCTTTGTCTACATTTCAGGAGGTGGGTGGGTGAAAGGTTAAATGCTGTAAGAAGTGCAATGTGCCAGAGGTTAACTACAGCAGGAAGAGGAGACTGAAAGGGAAAAAAACAAAGAAAGGACACCGTTTCCAAACATCTTTCGGAGAGGGCAACACATTAGCAACAGAAGAGAAGGAGAAAATACAAAAAATATGACATACCGGTTCTTTGAGGGGAAGGATCATGCCTCTGTTTACCAAAAGTATCGATTTACACCTCCAGACGAGCTAAAGAACATTATTCTTCAGTACCTTGATAAAAAGGTACGTGGCCAAATACATTACATATCAGTCCATTCAAATCTCCTCAAATCTGCAACATTCACCATATTGACCAAAATAACTTTGTTGTTCAGAAAGGAAAGCCACATGTGCTTGCTGTAGATCTGGGATGTGGAACAGGTCAGAATTCCCGACTTCTGGCACCACATTTCCAGGCAGTGGTGGGCATCGACATCAGCGAGTCTCAACTGGAGGAGGCCAAAGGTGTGCCAGGGTATCCTAACATCACATACAGGTAGGAGTGTGTGAGATGCTCTTTATGTTTGGACGTAACAAGCCTTTAAATAATAAACAATTTGAAGTTACATGTAGGGATGTCAAGAGAACTGTCAAACCCCTAAAATTCGATACTATCGAACAGCCTACAGTTATTCTGTGGATGATAGAAAATGAGTTTAGGACGCACTAAACTCCCTTTTAATGCATTTAGGGAATGCACCCTTTTTCTGCCAACAATACATTGTAAACATCAAATCAGTGAAATTGACTGAAGCAAAACTAGTTAGCGTTAGCTGTTATGTTAATGTTTCTTTTATTATCTTTTCTTTGTAATGACTGTTCTTAAATGCCTTTGTCTGAATGTCTTTCATTTTTGTAAAGCACCTTGAATTGCCTTGTGTTGAAAGGTGCTATATAAATAAACTTGCCTTGCCTTGCCTTATTAGCTAACGTGCAGCAAGGTTCCATAGAGTGGCGCGATGGCGCATTAACCTGTTAAGCCCCAAGGTCACCCTCGGCGGGTCCTTTTTTTTTTTCACGACACTGTGTCTCAGGGGATCTTAATATTTAAGAACCTATTAATGTGTTATACCAGATTAACGGGAATAATCTCAGCTAACTGACGATACAAACCATTTTTACCAAAACAAAACACAAGTCTCATAAGAAGCATCTAAATGACCCCTGAGCGAAAAATGCTAACGCACTTTGGCAAGGCAAGGCAAGGCAAGGCAAGTTTATTTATATAGCACTTTTCAACACAAGGCAATTCAAAGTGCTTTACAAAAAATGAAAGAGATTAAGAAAATGGCATTTAAAATCAGTCATTAAAAAGAAAAGCTAATAAAATAAACATTAAAAGAAAAAATACATGGATAAAAGTTACAGTGCTGTCAATTAAACATTAAAAGAAAAAAGTACATGGATAAAAGTTACAGTGCAGTCTAAGATATGAATAGTTCAATTAAAAGCAGCGACAAAAAGAAAAGTCTTCAGCCTGGATTTAAAAGTAGTCAGAGTTGCAGCGGACCTGCAGGTTTCTGGGAGTTTGTTCCAGATATTTGGAGCATAATAACTGAACGCTGCTTTACCATGTTTAGTTCTGACTCTGGGGACAGAAAGCTGACCAGTCCCTGAAGACCTGAGAGATCTGGATGGTTCATAATTTAGCAGGAGGTCAGAAATGTATTTTGGGCCTAAACCATTCAGTGCTTTATAAACCAGCAGCAGTATTTTGAAATCTATTCTTTGACACACAGGAAGCCAGTGTAAAGACTTCAGAACTGGAGTGATGTGATCCACTTTCTTAGTGTTAGTGAGGACTCGAGCAGCAGCGTTCTGAATTAGCTGCAGCTTCCTAATAGATTTTTTAGTGAGACCTGTGAAGACACCATTGCAGTAGTCCAGTCTACTGAAGATAAAAGCATGGACAAGTTTTTCCAAATCCTGCTGTGACATTAGTCTTTTAATCCTAGATATATTCTTTAGGTGATAGTAGGCTGATTTAGTAACAGTTTTAATGTGACTGTTGAAACTCAGGTCAGAGTCCATGACTACACCTAGATTTCTGGCTTTATCTGTTGTTTTGAACATTGCACACTGAAGCTCAGCGCTAACTTGTATACGTTCTGCCTTGGCTCCAAAAACCATTACCTCAGTTTTATCTTTGTTTAATTGGAGAAAGTTCTGACACATCCAGTCATTGATTTGTTCAATGCACTTACTCAGTGTTTGAATTGGAGCATAGTCTCCTGGTGAAATTGTTACGTAAATTTGTGTGTCATCTGCATAGCTATGGTAACTTATTTTGTTGTTCTTCATTATCTGAGCCAGTGGTAGCATGTAGATGTTAAAGAGAAGAGGCCCCAAGATGGAGCCTTGAGGAACCCCACATGTCATATTTGTCAACTCAGATGTGTATTTACCTATAGAAACAAAGTTGTTTCTGTCCTTTAAGTAGGATTCAAACCAATTCAGAACTGTTTCCGAAAGTCCCACCCAGTTCTCCAGTCGGTCTAGTAATATGCTGTGGTCAACAGTGTCAAACGCAGCACTTGAATGCAGCACAGTATCTAATAATACTAACACTGAAGTTCTGCCACTGTCTGTGTTTAAGTGGATGTCATTAAAGACCTTTACAAGAGCAGTCTCAGTGCTGTGGTTTGGACGAAAGCCTGACTGGAACACATCAAAACAGTCATTTAAATGCAAGAAATTACTCAACTGTTGAAAAACAACTTTTTCAATGATTTTACCTAGAAATGGGAGGTTTGATATGGGCCTGTAATTGTTCATTACTGAAGCATCTAGATTATTCTTTTTTAAGAGCGGTTTAATGACTGCAGTTTTCAGGGCCTGTGGAAAAATACCTGAGTGAAGAGATTTGTTTACTATATGAAGTAGATCTGAGGCCATGCAAGGCAAAACATCTTTGAAAAATCCTGTTGGAATAATATCAAGGCAGCAGGAGGAGGATTTCAGAAGTTGAATAATGTCCTCTAGGTTTTTATCATTAATCTGATGGAATTGTGTCATGATGTCTGAATTGATGTTAAGTGGAGATAGGGACAACACATTTGCTGTTCCTGATGCAGAGGCACTGACTGCTTGTCTGATTTTCTGAATTTTGTCAGTGAAAAAGGAGGCAAAATCATTGCACGCCCTGGTGGATAGAAATTCAGAGGCTACTGACACTGGGGGGTTAGTTAGTCTGTCGACGGTAGCAAACAAGGCACGTGCGTTGTTTTTGTTTTTGGTAATGATGTCAGAGAAGAACGATTGTCGTGCGTTTTTCAATTCCAAATTATAGAGGCCAAGTCTCTCTTTATAGATTTCAAAGTGAACCTGGAGATTTGTTTTTCGCCACCTGCGTTCAGCTTTTCGACATTCTCTTTTTTCTGTTTTCACGGTCATGGCCTTTCTCCATGGAGATATTTTCTTGCCAGACACTTCCTTTACCTTAGTTGGAGCAATGGCATCTATAACATTTTTTAATTTTTGAATTAAAATGATCTACTAGCTCATTTACTGAGATGTTGGCAGGGGCAAGTGTGGAAGAGAAATTCTGAGTAAACATTTCCCTAGTGTTTTCAGTTAAATATCGCTTTGTGGTTACCTCTTTTTGAACATTTTTGTGAACAGAAATAGAGCTCTCAAAGAAAACACAGGAATGGTCAGAGAGTGCAACATCAGTCACCACAACCTTAGAGATATTCAGACCCTTTGAGATAATTAAGTCCAGAGTGTGCCCCTTATTGTGCGTGGGCTCCGTCACATGCTGAGTCAGTCCATAGCTATCAAGAACACAAAACAGTTCTTTAGCCCCTCTGTCCTGGGGGTTGTCAACATGGATGTTAAAATCACCAACAATGACTAGACGGTCAAAGTCAATACACACTATAGACAGCAGTTCAGTAAAGTCATCAAAAAAGCTTGCACAGTATTTGGGTGGTCTATAGATATTTAGGAACAGAGCTCGAGAGGAGCATTTCAGCTGAAGGGCCACATATTCAAAAGAATCAAAGTTTCCATACGATGTCTTCCTGCATTGAAGGGCATCATTGAACAGAATAGCAACTCCACCCCCTTTCTTATGCATTCTTTCCTGACTCATAAAACTAAAGTTGGGAGGGGTTGATTCGATAAGAACAGCTGCACTGTTATTTTGTTCAATCCAAGTTTCTGTTAAAAACATAAAATCGAGATTGTGCTCAGTGATAAAATCATTGATTAAAAATATTTTTCCTGCCAAAGACCTGACATTTAATAAAGCTAGTTTAAGTTTGTTAAACACACTATCAGTCATGTTTTTTGTAACAAGCTGTGGCTGACATGGAATCACTGCTAAATTAGATACACTCACACAAACGTTTGAGCGCTTCCTGTTTCTATGATTCACCGCTCTTAATCTATTACCTATCAACACAGATATCGGCAAAGCTACTGGCAGGCAGGGCCCCGACATGTCCTTGAAAGAGTTGAGAGTGCCATACGCCCTTGAGCCTGGACCCATCACATATCAGTAAGAGTTTGTTGTGTTTTGTACACACACATCCTTATCAGGCTTCGGAGACTGCAGAAGCCCCCTCGAAGGGAGGGGAGGTGGTCGACGTAGGCACGGTGATGGAGACGGGCTAGATGGTGCGGGGGTAGAGGACATGCTGCCAGGGGGGGGAGGTGGTTGACGTAGGCGCGGTGATGAGGACGGGGGAGATGGTGCGCGTCTCCGCGGTGATTTTGGTGGGCGTCGTTGAGGAGCGGGGGTAAAGGACATGGTGCCAGTCCTGCGTATCGCCTTCGTTTGGTCTTTGAACTCCAGGAAGGAATCGGTGCCAACCCTCTGTATCTCCTTTGTGTGTTCATCGATCTCCAGGAGGGTGGGCGAGGGTGAAAGGGTGAACGGAGTATCCTCAAAGGCGTTGACAGGGGGGGGGGGGCAGTGGAGACTCCTCCATGTGTCTCATATGTCTCCCATAATCAGAACATTCCTCAGGCGGGTGCAGTGATAATTCTTCAGGGTTTTCTGCGTGATGTGTTGTGTCTTTCTCGTGTTTTGATTCCTCCTGCCGCTTGTCCTTGGCAGAGGGAACAGATTGATGACGCAGGCAGTTGAATATGTTAGAGATAAACAATTTCACTCCTGACTTGTTCAGGCAAACTCCATTTGCCTTGAAAAGATGTCTGCGATCCCAGAAAAAGTTAAAATTGTCAATAAAATGAACAGAATGGTCAGTACAGGCCGTTGAAAGCCAGGTGTTCAGTGCAAACAATCTGCTGAATCTCTCCACTCCTCTTCTGACTGGCGGTAGAGGGCCACTGATGAACACCTCTGCATTTAGAGAGCTGGCAGTTTCCAACAAACATTTAAAGTCTTCTTTCAGCACTTCTGACTGTTGTTTCACAACATCATTTGTTCCAATGTGCAGTACCACATTCTTCACAGTCGGATGTTCAGCCCCAATATGCAGGATCTTCTCAGCCAAGTCAGAGACCACATCCTTGGGAAAACAGAGTACT